GGCTGAGGTAGCGTCGCGTAGTAGGTGCTTCGAGCGATCCGTCAGATCTTCCCCTTTATTACCGGCCTGGGCTTATAGACGTTCCAGGGACCCCACTTTAAACCGCCTTCTATACGGGCCACCCAAGTGGCTTGCACAGGAGGCAGGGACGTAAGCCTGGCTAAGTGCGTCCAGCATCTGTTACAGAGATGGTCGCTGGCCCCAAGTCGCCTGAATATACGAGGTGTCCGGAGATTCCTAGAACCACCCCCACGGAGAGCCAGTGCTTGCTTGCGTCCTGTTTGAAAACCGTTTCGAGGAAGGTTTATCACAGTTGACCCCGTTAATACACGGCAAGTGGATTTTTGATACAGGAGTACCCACTTCTGTCAGGGCACAGATTTTCCGATCTCTGGAATTTGGTACTTGGAATAACCTCTGTCCACAATTTACCCACGCCGCATTCAGGACCTAGGTGTAATTATTTTTTGATGTTTCTACATGTGGGCCCCGACGCTAGCACACCTACTGCCTATCGCTGAAGCTTTAACGGGATTCAATACACCTCTTTCTGCCCGTGCTTTTCAGGTGAACAGAAGCTATTGAATAGCAAAGACAAATGCAACCGGGGAGGCATAAGCAGATGCTAAGACCAGGAGTATCGATTCATTTTGCCGTGACGGCCTTGACATATGCCTTTCAGCTAATGTGCTACAGAGTTGAAAACTGTCAAACACCACTTCTTAGGCCTGCGAAGCTTGTGCTTTGCACTGGTGCATCAATCAGGGAAACACTGAAATTTTGAATCTCTCAATAAGTTCAAGAGGAATACAACACTGGGCATTATCATCAGATAAAACATAATGTGTTAGGGTGGGACCCACCTGCTGTTCTTCAGCAGCAGTCTTCATCACCTTTTCTCAAGGCTATGTTTGGGATTCACCTCTGTTTCTGACATGCGCCAGTGACCTCGCGGATGTTCTTCCAAAAGCATGTTTACTTTTTACGGCTGACGTGAAATTCCAAGGTTCAATTGTCAGGCTTCTACATTGATTCCGGCACCATAAAGCACCGTTCGCCGAAATGGCAGCTTCTTCTGAATGACGCAAAGCACGTCCACGTCATTCCGAAGATACCAAGCGAACGACTTTGTCGTGCATGGTGAGATTACGTCGAAGACAATGCAAAGATTTATGCCGAAAAGCGTTCAGGTGTCCGGCTTCAAACTGGTGTTTCTCACCTCACCTTGAAAAATCGGCTGAAAAAGGCTTCAGTCGCTCGATGGATGATTTGGTGCACCTACCCCAGTATTACTCGCATGGAGGTCCAGATACCCTAAGAAGCCAGCGCCAGACCGCTTCTTGAATACGCCAACCAGGCTGTCCAATCGAGACACAAAAACTTGTCACAAAAATGGTTGCAAGCCTTTCGCGGATTCACGGAGCAGTACACAAGATGCAGGCTCTCTGCCAATCTTCCCGTGTTTGGTTTGTTTTTCAGAGGCTCCCGTTCACCATGAACTAATTCACAAGGTAGAGGACATATCCACCCCAAATCCGTTGATTATGAAACATGTCTCATAGTGTTTGACTCCTTTTTTCTCGAGTACCGTCACCCCGCTTGAACAAGCCTTGAACAACAGTCATTCACTGCTGATTCAGCTAATTGGCCGTGTGTTATAACACACAGTGGGGACATGGTGAGATTTTCATGATCAGTGAGCACACTTTTATTACGCCACAGTTTTTCTCATCCGCTGGCAAGCTTACTTCCCTGTGCTGAGAACTTGAAGAGCAGTGCTACACCTTTTTTCGCTTGTGCCTTTCAGATGAACGGAAGCCATGGAACGACAAGAACAAAGCCGACCTCTGGTAGCTTGGGCGAAAGCCTCTACCCTGTGTATCAATCCATGAGTCGGTGAATGGATTGGACCACATTTTGACCAACCAGAGTTTGATACATTCTGGTCAATGGCCGGTTCGTCGTACACCCGCTCACCGGCGTGACTTTCGGTTGTCCCGGACGGCTGCTGTATATTCAAGCCCAAGCAGTGATTTGGTAAGAAATAACGCTGCTGAAGACTAAATACAATACGATGGATCCGAATCCCTCGTTGGTCCGTGACCGGCTAGCGCAACGCTGTTTGCTGTTATCGATAATGTCACTTGACGACGGAAAAACGTGATTTTTCTCTTTCGGATATCATTGATAGTAGTGATCATTTTGCCGAAACGAAACACTCCGGCTGCCCAGATCGAAAGATATGTTACCCTCGGACACCTCACCCCCTGAGGATGACCAATTCCTCACACAAACCCTTGGGCAACTCTCCTCCAGCTACCATTTCACTCATCTGCTGGTAGGTGACCAAGAGCCTCGATCCTGTGTATCAATCCGTGAATCCGTAAAAAGGGCCGACGCTATTACCACAACCTCGTAAACAATCTCTCTTTGGTTCGTCTCATACAAATTGGACCTGCGCGATAAATACCTCATTTGCGATTGTATAGTTACACATAGTCGCTGTATGGCACTTCGGCCGACGATGTGACCCGAAACAGACCTTGTCACGTCGTATCCGGGGTATACTCAGTGGTGGCGTCTTCAGTTCACCCGACTTCTGGATGGACAACGACCATCCAGTATGCCAAACCTCGCTATTCGGCGGCATCTTGTGTGGGTTAAGGTGATCGTACATCAACACTTGTATGTTCACAGGGTTTTAGACACCGTCCGTTAGTGATTCGAAAGTGAACCTCGTTTAAGCTAGTTAACTAGCTCCCGTATACAAACGTTCGTTATTTAGAAGTATCGGTTAAGACAGTAACTATCTCTCTACAATCAATGTGCGCACAAACTGGCTTGTTCATATGCTATGCGATCGTTTCTCTTAAGTATTTTGTTTCAAAAACTGCGTCTGAATGCAATGTTCCCAGCTGCTTCAGCTTGTTTACCAGGGATAAAGATAACAAGGTACGGGCGCCGTGCACTAAAGTCAATATCCCAATCTGCACCGATGACAAATGAACCTCTTTGTTCAGTATACGGTGAAGTGAGAGCTGTGTAGTGAAAGCAATAGGTTTGATGCAAGATTGCCATTGACTGCATGACACAGCCACATGACACGGTCACCATGATCTCCATATGGGCTGGCGGACGTTACCAAGTAATGGACCGATCGCATCTGAATCGTCTCCATTTGGTATCACGCTGGGCGAAAGTTGGTGTACGAGACGAACCGTCCTCTGGCCTATGAAGTACGTTGTCAAACCAGTGTAATCTGTGGAGTTCGTCCAATTGACACGCCATCGGTAATGAGTTAGTGGCCGGCACACCGCTGGAGAACACCATGTGGCCAGACGACTTGTTATTTCGGAAGTTGGTACGACATAAAAACATCATGAAGCAATCGTTCACCATTTTCTGTATGTATCGAGCCCAGTTCATGTCGACCACTTAATTCAGTCTCAGATACCCTAAGCCTGCTCTTACGTGCGTTCATATCCCCGGCAACCACAAGGATATCTGCGCTTTTAGCTCGCCGCAACATGGCATTCAAGGCATCCCAAAACTTGTCTTTGATGGTGTCCGAGCTACATCCAGTTGGGGGCGTAAGCAGATACGATGAACACAGCATCAGCCTCTGGATCGCCAAAGGTGCACAGCCGGAAGCGATTGGAGTGTGATAAGACGATTAGCCCAACCAGTGTGCTTCCATCGGGGGCGAGATAGCCCAAGTGGTTAGAGCGCGAATTTGCCGACCGTGGTTCGAACCCGACATTCGGCACTCGACTTCCCCTGTCTAGGCTTGGGCAACCTGGCAGTATCCCAGCCCTCGTGCTTCCTCCGGGTGGCATGGCAGCTAGGCACTGGAAGGGTGCTACAGCTGAACGATTTGTTTTTTTGTTTTGTGCTTCCATCTTAAGTTTTTGTTTGTGAGACAGCATACAGCAATGCTAAGCGAGTCGAGTGTGAGAGCAAGCGCAGGTTGTTGACCTACTAACTTCAAACTGTGGACATTGAAGGCGGCCAGATAGACTGGGCGCCGAGGCTTGAACATTTATTTCGAAGATGTCGGTGACGGAATACCCGCATGTGTTGCTTGCAAAACCGTTGCAGGACCAACGAAGTCATTAGTGATAAGCCTGCAAGAAGAGTTATCAATGGGGTTGGGGGAAAGAGAAGAGAAAGTATGTAAAATAAGGAAGGGAGACGTCAGAAGCAACCTGGTTTCGCTTACCCACCCTGCTGTATGCAGCGGGTAAGGCCACCCGGTTGATCGCACCGCACGAGATATGGCATGATTTTATCTGTATTTATTCGTATTTATTTGCAGTTCATGATTGTCCGTGCGCTAGGATACTGCTATGCCACTCACACCTAGACAGGAGTCCTCAACCAAAGCCTTTGGCTGAAAATCCTGACCGCAAGGCAGCGGTGTTTGGCTGGGAATGTAAGTAGAGTACCATGGAACATGTCGCCAAACATGTTTTAACCCCCAACTTTGAGGACCAGGAGATTGTTCGTCAGACCGCTAATCATTGACCGGCCTGGTATGGGAGACTGCGAGTATCGTGCGGACACCCCTCAGTATAGCTCAGTGGTCGCTAAGGTACATAAACCGTCACACCACGGTGTTCCAGCCTCTTCGTGACGGTGCTGAGGCCCGATTGGGTCGTCGTCTTTGATTGGACCCGAGTCGCACGGACAACGGGGATCGCCTGTTTCAGTTGTGTGGCTATCACAGACTGTCCCCTTGCAGTATCAATTTTCAGAAAGGCGGAAGTCGCCTGACAGCTTGGTGCCCACCAACAAACTAGCCATGAATCCAGATGGACCACATCGCTGTCAGGTATCGGCGGCGAGAGTCGTTCACCGCCTGCCACTCCTGGAACACCGACCATGCATTTGCCAATGCTGTTTTTCATTGGGCTTTTTAGATCTGCACAAAACGCGTGCACCTCGCCTAGCCATTGAGAAGCGAGTGAACCCAGAGGTCAAAAGAAACCAGAACCGGTTCCTCAAACTTCTGCCGGACCGTCCGATGTCAAATATGAACGGCCACTGGGAACAGATATCCAAAGTGCTAAACAGAGCCCGAACTCCTGTTTCTGGCATGACCCAGCCAATCTCGTCCAAATATTGGATCTCTGATAGAACCATGTCTTTGCTGGAGGCCCGGCGACAAACACCCTGGCCGCAACCACAATTCCACCTGACGCGTCATCCGAGACCAGGTGAATCCGATTATCCGTGCTGACCGGCAAGCTTGTTGGACCCAAAAGGCCAAAGAAATCGAAGATGCGAAAATTGTTGGGAACGTCCGTAACCTGTTCCACTTGATTTGTTTGAATGGTCCTTAGAAACTCCTTGTCACTGAAATGATCACAGAACGACATGGAACCCTAATATCCACAAAGCAGAACATTTTGACCACTGGGCAGAGTACTTGGAACAGTAATTCAGTTGCCGCCTCCAATCCGGAACCCTAGCCTTCAACAGAAAGACGGACCGTGAATATGGAACTGCCGTAAACCTCACAAGTGTCCGAGTGTATATATCTACTCAAGTAGCGTCGTGCTGCTGATTCTGATAACCTTTCACTTGCTACGTTCAGGGATGGTGGCGCGATTCTCAGTCATTGCATGTCTATTTGAGTCTACCTAGGAGAAAGAAACCGTCCGAGACAATCGATCGTAGTGCCCGTTTTCAAAAATTGCACTCCCGGTGAATATAGTAACCACAGATATGTTAGTTTAACTCCATTTGTGACAAGGCTTCTGGCGTCACCGATTCTTTGTCGTCTTATGGTGGTATGTGAAACCCTGACTTGTTCGAATCAAACTGGATTTCGACCTTGTATAGGCTGCGTTGACAAAATCTTCACACTATCAGGTGTTAGAGCAGCACCATGTGTACAGACGATCCACAATCGTGTTCCTTGACTTCAAGGCCGCTTTCGATTCTTTTAACCACACTTGCTGAACAGGATATATATACTATAAGTTTGTGAACTTAATCCGGTCCCTATATTCTGGAGAATGTTTGGTGAGCTATCCGAAAGCTTCCCTACAACAACAGGTGCGACGAGCATGTTCAACTTCTCCATTCTTGTTCATCTTCATGGTCGATAAAATAATGAAGCGAACGCTGGAAGATCTTCAAAACCCTGGTGTTCAAATTGTTGCTGGTACAAACCTTGTCGATCTCGAGTACCAAGACGAAGCACAAGCTCTGCTGGTCACCGTTGGACTGTCTTTCAGCATGCGACCTACAACTTCAAAGTTCAAAGCCATGCTTCAGAACGCACAGTCCCTGAACATTCGCCTTACGATTCAAGAAAAGCTGGGTAAAAAGTTTTACCCAGCTAGCTGTACTAGTTCTGACTGCCCTGCTGCGGCGGGCTAAAAGTTCAGACATTGTGGTGGTTGCCGGAGATATGAATGCGCAAGTGGGCATGCTCAGTGCATCTGAGACGCAATTGGGAGGTCGACATGGACTGAACTCGGTACGTACGGACAATGGGGAACGATTGCTTCAGCTGTGTGCTGATCGCAGGCTGTTTTTATGCAGTACGAACTTCCGAAATAGCCGAAGTTGTCTGGCCACTTGGTGTCCTCCAACAACAGGCCGGCCACAAACTCAAATCGACCACATTGTCATCAGTTACCGAAGGCGCGGATCCATAACTGACAGAGGGTCGTTTTGTAACACATTTCTGGACTTTGACCACGCGCTCCTCCGGAGTCGCTTCGCCCTACGTAAGGTGCGTGAAGGTGCGCGTAAGGTGAGGACAAATCGCATGGCAACTGAAAGAGTGGCAGACTGGGGTGAAGTCCTCAGTCAGCGCTTGTCCGATCTGTTTGCTTGCATTTGGGAAAAGGAGTCTGTCCCAGACAACTGAGGTGAATCGGTGATAGTACCCGTTTTCAAAGAAGGCGCGCGCAGTGAGTATGGTAACCACACGGTGGTCAGCTTTACCCCGGTTGTAACGAGACTGCTGGCGTCAATTGTGCTTCGTCA